GCACAGGTTGGTCCACCTGAGCTTCTATTTCACTTTGTTCAAGTGAAGCCGCTTCTTCTTCTTCTTCTTCTGCAGTTTGCGGCAAAAGTGATGATGGCGATGCTGTTAGAGTTGATGATGACAGAGTTTCAGAGTCTCCCTGATTTTCCTCATCAACTCCTTCAAGTTCAGCCGCCTCTTCGTCCTCTTCGTAATCAACATCCTCTTCTTCCGGCAAACCACCGTACTCTTCTCTGTTGTCGCCAAGGGCCGATCCTTTAGAAGAGGAAGTCTGCTGCTGTTGCTGCTGCTGCTGCTGCTGCTGGACCAGTTCTGGGCCGCTGCTGGGGGCGTCCAAAGAGAAGGAGCTCAGTTCAGCGGCCAGTGCGTTGTTGTTGTTGTTGTCATGCAGAACTTCCTCTTGAACAGCCCCAGTCACATCTTTTTCCGTTTGCGATGCAATTGGTTGTGGTGTTGGTGGCGGTGATGGTGTTAGTGATGACGGCACAGGTTGGTCCACCTGAGCTTCTATTTCACCTTCTTCAAGTGAAGCCGCTTCTTCTTCTTCTTCGGCCGTTTGTGGCAAAAGTGATGATGGCGATGCTGTTAGTGTTGATGATGACAGAGCATGGTCCCCCTGATTTTCCTCATCAACTCCTTCAAGCTCGGCCGCCTCTTCTATCTCTGCATTTTCGTCCTCTTCGTCCTCTTCGTACTCCACATCCTCTTCTTCCGGCAGATCACCGTGCTCCTCTCTGATGTTGTCGAGAGAAGGAGGAGGAGGTGAAGTAGAGTCCATGCTGAGCCACTTGTCAATCTCTTCATCTTTCCACTGTGCATCACTACAGGCTGGCATCCCACCCGCTGTAACATTACCATCCTCTAAGAGCTGCACCTGCTCTGGTTCTTGGGGCTGAGTTTGTTGTTGTTGTTGCAGCTCCGCGTCGGGCTCCGGCTCCGCAGGTTGCGGTGGCTGTGAACTCGCCACTGTTAAGTTTCCTCCCAGCAGCCTCTCCTTCTCCTCTTTCAGCAGCTCAGTGAGATTCTCCACATATCTGTCGCGCAGGTGGGCATCGTACATCTTGTGAGTAAGTCTGAGGTGATTTTTGATGTGGCCCGGCATGATGAACCGTTTCAGGCAGCCCTGGTAGGTGCATCGATAGGGACGAATGCCGTTGTGAACCGATCGGTCGTGTCGGCAAAGAGATTCGTAGCTAAACATTCCTCGGTTGCACTGTTTGCAAATAAAGGTTGGCGTTCGGTTGTTGTTGCTGTTGGTGGTGGTAGTGGTGATGGTGGTGGTTGTGGTGGACGTCGTCGTCGTTGCTGGGATGTCCCGGGTAATGTTGTCAGTCTCTTCCATCGGTGGTGGTGGTGGCCATGATGGACATATCCACTGCATCTTTCGCACTCTGCCTGGTCTCTGTCCGATAACAAAATCTCTTTTACCCCTCTCCAGCCATTCCATTTCATAGCGGAGCGCGTTATCGAGCTGTTCAATGTACTCATAAGGGGCGTCGGCAAGGTGCTTATGGGTTTTCTCAATGTGAATCTTGACGCAGACCTTTTGATTGGCCTGAAAACCGGAGCACCCTTGTACCTTGCACCGGTACGGACGCAGTTGGCTGTGCGTTCGACTGTGAATGCGGAACTGGAAAAAACTGGAAAAAGTTTTGGCCGGTGTGCAGTTGGGGCAGATGAAGCAAGATGTAAGGAGAAGATCAGGCAGATTAGAACTAGGATAGTGGCTGTTGGTGATCGTTAAGGGTAAAGTAGTAGAAGGAGTAGTAGTTTGGCCTGAAAAGTGGCAGTTTAAAGAAGGCGAAAAGTTGAGCATGCTGTTAGGCTGCTGCTGCTGTCGCTGATCAGTAGAATGGAAAAGTTTCGTCAAAGTGTGGCTGCTGGTCGTGGGTTGGAGAGTGTCGTGGTTGATCACAGGAGAGAACGAAGAAGAGGGAGGTTCGAAAACTAGTGACGTGCTCGGAACGGCTGTGATGGTGGTGGGAGATGTTGTCGTGTTTGGTGAATAGTTCTGCTGCATCTCATCCTCAAACAGTGAAGGAAAAGAAGGCGGCAAAAAGGAGGGAGGATAAAGAGGACTCTCGTTGGAGCGAGTGGTGCTGTGCGATTCTAGCTGCTGCTGCTGCTGCACTTCTACCTCCTCTGGAAGATGATTTCCGTGTCCCTGGTCATCACTTCTTTGGCCATTGGCAGCAATCATTAGCTGTTGATAGCGCTGCTGGCAAGCCTCGCTAACTATCCACCGATCAAAACTGGCCAGCTCCTCCTGGAGCGCCTTGCGGTCGACGCTCATCAGGTGGTTCAGCGAGTCGTCACCGCTGTTGCCTTTGCACAGTTTGAGTACAAATTCAGAGTGGACGGTCTTGAGGTGACTCAGCATGGCGTCACGGGTGGCCGCCTGGAAGGCACACTGGTAGCCGGAGCAGCGAAAGGGCATCACTCGGGTGTGCAGGCGGTCGTGCTCGAAAAGAGCATTTCTTGAGGTAAAGAAGTCGAAACAGCCTTCATGGCGGCAGATGTACCGGGTGGGATGTTCCCTATGATTGCTGCTGTTGTCGGCCATGTTCACTGGATTCGGTGGTGTCCTCGTTGATTGAAGGCTCTCGGCGGCGTTTGCGTTTTGGATGACGCTCACATGCGATGAGGGAGAGGACGATGACGACGGCGGCAAAGGCAGCATTGCCGGTGCTCCTATTTCAATCCCACTCGAACGTGATTGTGGCGTTGGTAGTGGTGGTTGTGGTGATGCCAAAGATTCATGAGGCAAAAACGTCGCGGAAATGTTGAACGTGGTGATGTCGACATTCGGTGGTGCTGGTGTTTCTGGTTCTGGTAATGTCGATGGCGACCGCAGCGAGTTGAAAAGTCCCTCGAGGTTAGTGATACTAGAATCCATCGAGAGAAGTCGTCCACTTTTGCTCACACTACCACTGGTGAGTGATATGTTACGAGATTGTTTTGCACTAGAAAGATTTGCACAAAAGGCACAACACAAGAACAAAAGGCTAAGCAGAACAAAGCTGTAACTCGTTTGTGCTGCAGTCTAAGAAGAAGAGGTTATAAGGCACAGGCAATAACCATTCTTCAATTTTTATTACCTCGTTTTTCTGCTTGTCTGCTGTTGCTGCTACTGCTGTCGTCTCTGATTCCCTCGCTTTTGCTGTAGCCGAAGCTTTTATAGCCGCTCTCGTTCGGCCTTGCTCTTCTTCCTGATGCTGCTGCTGCTGTTTAAAAGCGGTCAAGAGAGTGGCGGTGTGGCGGCACTGTGAACGAGTGTGCTCGGGGCCGCTGACTCAAGTGACTCAGTTTCACTTTGTCAGTGTGCCGCTACTTCTGGCGAATGATGCAATGTGTGTTTGGTGTGGTGTGCACGGACGAGGCCGATCAGAGTCTCTGCTACAGTGACGACAAGTGAAGCGAGGGTGCTGGTAGATCCGGAGAAGCGATTTCGTCCAGTGTTCGTTCGGCTGCTGCTGCTGCTGCTGCGCTTGCAACAGTTGGGAATGGTTTGTTCAGCGTTATTCTCTCTCTCCTCACTTCCGCTCTTTCCCCTCTTTCTTCATTTGCATTGGTCTCAGCTCAGCTTACCACAGCTCACCAGTGGTGAGTCACCACCACTGGACTTTACTGAATACTCACACACACACAAGAAGTTAAGGGCGCCACTCGCTTCGCAGCTAATGCTTGTTTACGGCTTCAGGAGTTGGTGATAAAGCTCTGGTAGTCGTCGGAAATCGGCGATGCTCAAAAGCACCGACACACAAACACCACTTTTTCCTGAACGTATTGGTGCGTGCGCTCGTTGTTCTTTTCATTCGGCAACTGCAAAATCTCAAAGCAGTCTTCAAAACTGAAATGCACAACAGTCGCTTTTGCCCTTTGGAAATCTCTTGCAACAGATGTATGTAATTGTAATTATTTTATACTTTTTGCAAGCGTTCTCATCGTTATCTATCTCTCCATCGTTCTTATCATCATCGTCATCGTCAGTTCTCTCTCTCTCAGTCTTCCAGTCATCAGTAGTACGTCTCGCGTTCAATGAAGCCACCGGGGTGGTGGCGGATCGCCCACCGCCGCCACTCGTCGAGCAGCAGCAGCAGCAGGCCGAAGGGCAGCCCGAAGATCCACCAGACCCACTTGAGCGGGTACAACTTGAGGAGGGGGACCATGCCCGGGCAGTAGACGAGGAAGATGGTGAGGCCCGTCTCGAAGATGAGCGCAAAGCTGAGCACGTCATTGGTCATGCCCTGCTGGAGGAGGGAATTTCGGCGCGTCCGGCAGATCAACAGGTCGAACCACTGCGTGACGACGATGGCCACGAAGAAGGCCGTCTGACAGGTGGCCTCCAGGCGGCGCCGGGCGGCGTAGTGCCACTCCTGGCCGTACCAGTCCACCACCACCTCCTCCCCGGGCCGCTCCCAGCCGCGGGCCCGGACGGTGGTGAGGCCAACGAGGAAGAAGCCGTGCTCCGCCATGATGACGAAGTAGGCGAGGAAGCCGGCAGCCGTGGAGATGATGCCCACGTAGAAGTAGGTCACCTGGATCATGCGGTGGCTGACGAGGCGCTCCGCCGAGGTCCGCGGCCGCCGGCACATGATGTCACTTTCGGCCGGTTCGTAGGCGAGGCTGATTGCGGGGAAGATGTCGGTGCCGATGTCGATGCACACTGCAACAGGTCAAATAGTANCCACGTAGAAGTAGGTCACCTGGATCATGCGGTGGCTGACGAGGCGCTCCGCCGAGGTCCGCGGCCGCCGGCACATGATGTCACTTTCCGCCGGTTCGTAGGCGAGGCTGATCGCGGGGAAGATGTCGGTGCCGATGTCGATGCACACTGCAATAGGTAAACAATGAGCAGTTTAGAAACACTAAGGCACAGAACTTACAAATGGTCACCGTTCCCAGGCCGAGGGGCAGTCCTAGTAGAATGTACAGGAGGAAGGGCACCATCTCGGGAATGTTGCTCGTCAGCGTGTACGCGATGGACTTCTTCAAATTGTCAAAGATCAGCCGACCCTCCTCCACCCCCACCACAATGGAGGCGAAGTTGTCATCGAGGAGGATCATATCGGCCGCCTGCTTCGACACATCGGAGCCGGTGATGCCCATGGCGACGCCAATGTCCGCTCGCTTGAGCGCCGGTGAGTCGTTGACGCCGTCGCCGGTGACTGCCACCACCTCACCTCTCCTCTGGAAGCCCTCCACAATCTTCAGCTTCTGCTGGGGACTGGTGCGCGCAAAGACGATCTCATCGAAGGTGGC